ACTTGACAAGATGTGTTATGCTCATCTCTTATTAACGTCATTTCTTGTAATGCCTACCAGGTGTCCTTAAGGATAGGGGGTTACTTTTAAGGATTGTAAAGAGCAAATATCGTTGGTCCTGTGTCAGATGTTTGGAAGCAAGCCTCCAGGGAGAGCTTGCAGATAACGGTATTATAGAACCGCTGGTCCTGTGTCAAGCAAGCCTCCAGGAAGAGCTGCAGATAATGGTATCATAGAATCTCTGTATGATATCTTCCGTGAAAAATGCTCGAATCTTTCGATGCGGAAATGTTATTTGCGTTAGCAAGCCTCCAGGGAGAGCTGCAGATAACGGTATAATAGAATCGCATGATATCTTCCGTCGAATCCTTCGATGCGGAAAAGAGAACATGATGGAAGTGGAAAGAAGAAAGTAGTGAAGCTCAGGACACACCACATCCAGCATCTGAACCTGCAAGATGGTTACAATCAACTGGACACCACTACGCAAATATTAACAGCTTGACGTGGGAGGATAAGTTGACGTGTTTGAGGGGGATTGCGGCGGAAAGAAATAATTATTGTAAAAGCAGACATTAACCTGGAATATAATTGGGGCTGTGCCCCTTCATTTTGTTTTATTATTATGTGTACTGGAAGATTGTACTTATTGGTATAGAAAAAGATGTAATCTGCATGGCGGAAACATAGTTTTGCATAATAGCGAGTATAGAGGTGGAATATTAGCATTCATATGTATTTCAACCTGATTTGTTATTATTATCAAGTTTAATTCAATATTTGGGAAAAATCTAATTTTGAGGATGTTATTTCAGATATTTTTTTAGAAGAATGTAGTTGGTCTTGTGGTATTCTTTGGCATAATCATGTATTTGATAGTAATGTGAATAAAAGTTTCTCACAATAGTTACAATTCAACTTGGAATGTAATATTTGAAACACAATTTAATAGAGTTTATTGTACCGTATACTGCTAACATTACTCTACGTGTACATGTTATCTTATCAATTATAATCTAAAAATTAACGTATTAATATGATTCTTATACTAACGAAGGAATCTTTACGAAAAATCATATATTTGAAAAAGATGTGCGTATAAGGTTCTTGTCTTCCGACATCCATTTGATTGTTCGATCGGCAGCGACGGGAGCGGTGGATTTCGAGTTAAGATTATTGTCGATACATGAATGGATTGTCATGGTAGCCATTGCGACTAATTCGATGGATGTTTAACCGATTCAAATGCCTGATGAGGAAGGGAAAGTTTAATCTTGGCACCGTGTATACGTTTTCTTGGTTATAAGAAAGCTAATAAAAGCTTGTTGTTGTATTTATATAACGTACTGGAATCTCCCGACGACCAAGTAACCATCTAATTCAAAACCCGTTCGTTGATAATTGTCGCTGTCTGCGTTGGAGGTCTTCCACCAGTTCGGCCAGGAATTTCGACATTGAGAATGTTTCATCATCATCGCTATTGCTCTGCTCATCGTCTGCAGTTTCCTCTATCTGCATTGCCTCTTCGGTCTTTGTTTCGTCATCTTTCTTTGAACCGGTCAAGTTTTGTCATTTTCGTATCCAGGCTTCTGTCGTATGTTATCCATATGCACGCAACGGCTCGTCAGCATATTCGACTACTCGCATCTGTATGTCAACGTTAAATTCGGTCCCATCTCTATGCACCGTGGTAATGCCAGACGGTCCGTGGGGGGAGATGTGGAAATTTTCGTGCTCGAGATACGTGATTAGAATATATCGACTTGAGCAAGATTGCAGTATGACGGAACGCACTCTCAGGTATTACAGTTCCTTCGACTAGGCCGTGCTTCTGTACCTCTTCTTATGGTTGTCCTTTAACAACTTCCTTCAACTTGTCTTTGTGAGTATCATCAAATTCTTCAACTGCTTTGCTGTCTATTTGAACATTATTTTGCTGATACTTATCAACTTCTTTTGTTTTTCTCGTGATCAACCACTACCGTTGTTGCAGTATTTGACTTTGACGCTCCACAGATGACTTTATTTCGGACTCGATTCACGGTTGACCGCCTATCGTGCCGACTGTTATCTTTCTGTTCGGCTTGGCTGACTTCTTATCCAGTTCCCTTTGCAATCGTTCGTTGCAGCTTTTCTTGAGCTCTTTTTATGAAAAGCTCTGATTTCTTTCATAATCCCTTAAGCTGTCTCTTGTAAGCTCGTCAGAAGATGAGTTGTGTCGTAGTTCCTGCGGTAACGCATATTTTTTATCAGTCCACGTAATACGTGCAAATGGTCTTCATGAGAATTCAAATCTGTTTTTCCTAACCTGCGGCACCTACAATCAATGCCATACCAAACGTATGGACGAATTATATAGCAGAGTTTCGGTGTTTTCAATCAGGGACAATGGCACTTGGGAGGCAGCTACCTTGTTAAAATATTTGACTGTTTCCAGAGGAAGAGGTGAGGTAACTACAGATCGGATAACTGGAATGTTGGCTGATGGGCGTGAAAAATGATTACTGCAAGTTGATGCTGGCCAAGAGTTTTATAAGGAATTTGGAAGATGTAATTCCGTCGACACGTTGCAATTATTGACAAGACTATTAATCTTTAGGTCTCTTTCGCCATTGACTAATCACGTTATCGAATTGTATGAGGAGACGCATAAATCGCCAACAGAAGTGTTGATTCAGTTCTTAGATCAACGTCAGTAACTTCATGCCCGTGATTCAATAATGAGATGTCTTGCTACTTAATGAACCAAATCAAAGAATTACAGAATTCCTTTGTTATACTTGACACGAATACAGTAACTAGTGGCTTATTAACTGATACCCCCATCTACTGTAGAACCAGAAGATCAAACTGAACTCACGAATGTAGATGAGAACAAACACAAACCCCAACAACGTTACCAAAATTTTGACCCCTCCAGATATCGTGATATATTTGGGAATGAATAACGTCCTCAGGATTTGCTGACGCGATTTTCCACGACTATCCATGATCCACACGTGATACTATTAAAAATCCAATTCGGCAGATGACAGCAATGACACTGTTCTTCACTTTGGTAACACTGCAGCATCCTATCGACAAGTGTCAACGGGAACATTATACTCTGAAGAAATCTAGAATACTAAACAAGCAGAAGTTATACTGGAAGGATGATATGGCGAAAGAGCACGGGCATATATCAGAAAGCGTACGAATTCTTCAGATTATTGCAATCGGATGGTTTAACATTTGTACGCTGCAATGCCGGAACGGGGAGAGTTCACGGTGCTGAAGACGTGTTTATTAACGTGTTGCCTCATATATTCCAGTGATAAACATTCTTTAGAATGTTGAAAAGTGGTTATCATTAAGATTATAATTGGTAATTATTAACAAGTTATGTTAAATATCATTAGTATTATGATCATTAATTATTAATTACGATTATATCTATATTTGTCGTATCCCTAAAGAGTCATGCATTATGCCCATATGCCTCGGGATTCCTAGCAAGTATGAGGAAAGAGAAAGTGAATAACTCACAAACGCCGATTAGAGTCTGTGTTTTTTGCTAAGGCTGTGAGGTACCGTGACGCGTTACGGTTATTTCTTATACAGTGCCGATTATGTCGTTAAACTTGTGGCAGACGAATGATGAAGACGATGACACGAAGAAGTCGATATGCTACGCGTTGCGGCAAGGTTGAAATGATAATATGCGATAGACGGACAGCTAGACGGACAAAAGATGGAGTATTGATAAAGAGCTTTGGGTAAGTTGAGATTTGAAAGGTATGGGGAAAGATTGTCGAATATGCATGTTATCTTAATTCTGTCCATACTGTTCCCATTTAATAGTCATTGCTAAAGTAAACCGCTGAGACTGAGCGCAATGCGGAGCTTTATATTTGGTGAGTAAATGTGGGTAGGTGGTGGCGGAAATAAGAGTGCTGTACACTGTATCTATGTTTAGTAACACCTTGCTCTCCGTATACCAGTCTGCTTGATCATAGTCATGCCGTCGCGTTCTGCTTTTCCACACGGATCATTGATTCTACGGCTCGAATCATTGTTTCGACAGGTTTTATAAAGAAACGGGCGAGAGAGCTACAGACTAACGAGATCGTGATCATTGATAGTATTAAGAAAGTTGGAAAAAAGACCAACATCGGCAAAGTGTTTTTCTCGGTCGCTATTGCAAAAGTCCCAGAAGACAGATCACACCAGAAGTGCAGATCGATGTCGGAAGAAATGATAGTATATATTATACGCGTTATTTTCACTCGTGCATGTAGGTTTTTTATTTTATTATCGGCAGCCTTTGATGTCGTGGTGTGGCGGGCTTTATTATAGACATTGAATGAGAATGAGTGGTTCGGTGACAGCGCGTTATTCTGCTATAATTACAGTTCTGCTTTTTCCTATAAGCAATGAAATGTAATGAATAACGTCATAAAAAGGTTGATACTTTCGTTAGTAGTCCGCAATAAGTTATTAATATTATATCTTAATTTCTTGATAGTATTAAGTACAATAGAATGATGGCTTGGTTGATTTGTTATAACTTAATCAAACATTCACATTACAATCTCATTCGTCTTCGTATCTTCTTCCTACCTCCCCTCCTCTCCTCATATGCTCATCATTATTTAGCTCCCAAAGAAACTCACTCAACTCTCGTTGCCATCCTTGCCCATAACTATCCATGTCACTTAACGGTTTTGCTTGCAGGTTTGACAACGCCGTGCGTCGTAACTAATTAGTAACCCAACAGCATCGAGAGTTAGGAATGAGTCGATGATCTGGAATTGAAGTTGTTTGCTATCTGAGTGACGTAGTAAAGCGTCTTTAGATCAACAGAAGAAATTGGATCGGAGAAGATAGACAAAAAAATAGGCCGGACCTCATTTTACGTCCCTGAGACGTAAATTGAAATCTATAATAACCAGAGACATTAATTAAAGCCGTCTTTATTTCGGTAATTCGATATTAAGCTATAAGGTCTAGAGAAACTTTCTTGAAATGCCACTTACATCCTCGAACTAATCAAACGCGATCCGACAATATTCGAGAATTCCATCGACAAAGCAGTCCATGGGTACGGCTTAGTCACAGTGTAGGTGTTTTCGTAACTTTACATTTGATAGGGAATGTAAAACTAAGAATACCTGCACTGAGATTCTACAATTCTGAACCTATATCACGTGATGAAGTATGTGTGGCTATTTTGGTAAAGCAGTTAGTGAAAGACTTTTTCTATGTAATACAGTATATTCACAACTTGTCATAAACTTCTATTCTGGTCCTGTACAAAATAGAAAGACTTGATCTAAGTTAGTCGACCGTTGCAGATACGTGTTTGGGATAAGCGATAGGACGTTGCTAAGATGACACTTAAAGTATTTGGCACTTAGACTGGATTGGCTAATGGTAATCACAGATTAGTGCATTATCATTCGGCGCCGGGATTGATTCAACGGAAAAGCAAAGTGGTCAGTGCTTGATGAACGAAGAAGCTGTATTTTATATGCTACTGTTAAGCTGCAAGATTTGTCACCACATTTAGGTTGGAACTCGATAACCAAGCTGAAGACGTATTCCGACAACACTGAAATAGTACAGTACAGAATTTCGAACGGTACAGTACAGAAGTTCAGGATACCGATATATAATTGCGTGGGGTACTTTACTCGATTATGTAGAAGCATATCTTCGTAATCGACAAGCGTTTGTTACAAGAAGTGAAGGTGTGTGGAAAATCAGACGAGTGTAATGCAAAAGGTGTATACGTGTTTGAATGAAGAAAGGCGTTGTATTTAATTTTGCCTGCATTACCAAAATTTATATAAAGAATATGACGGAAGCACCAAGCTCTTTCCATAGGCATGCACCTTCTCATCCATTGCATGATCTGACAAGAATGATGGAAATTGAAGAAAAGGATTTGGCCCTAATTAAAACGAGACAATAACTATGGGATCAAAACTAAGTGTGTAAATTCAAAGTCCAATTACATATGCAGCTAAGATAAAGAAAACTTCTGAGTATTAAATCAAATGCCATTTCTGATATAGAAGATGAAAGATCACGTACAATCCGAACTGTGATAAGACGCGGTTTCCTGTTTGTGGAAGACAATTGTAACACGCTATCCTCTGGTCTCCATAAAAATGTAACTTTTAATTTATGTAATCAATAACGAGTCGCGTGATCAAGTGTGCTGAGATGATCTTAATATTGTTCGCGAGACTTTGGAGAAACATCAACCAAATGATAAGAACGTGAAGATCTGCTCTTTGAGAAGGTTGTGGTCGCTTAGCTTTTACAATCGGAGTTTCTATGGTGTAGTATTATCTTGAAGATTACAACTCCCTCACAATGGAAAAGATTAATTACTGAACTAACTATAGTGACTCGTTTTAAAGTCCGACTTTAATCCCACGATACTTTGTGATGTGTAACACCATCAATGTGGCGACGATAGAAGTTGTTCAACTCCCGAGGGGCGCCTTAACGAAGAAGTCTTTTACCTCGGGAGTTTCGTCTTCCAGCAACCTTAATTGTCAGTCGGAAGACTTATTATTATTCTGCATCGTTAAATTATAGATAATATGGTGCAGGACGTCTATACTCGACAATCACATATTAGGTATCTTTAAACTCCT